TTAGCCTTGTCGTATTGTTCTAGTTTCTTATGGCAGACACCAAGGTTTTCTAGCGTAGTAGCCACTAGTGGATCATTTTCATTGTCTCCTTTCTCACTTATGGACAGCGCTCTCTCCAAGTACACTTTGGCGTTGTCGTATTGTTCTAGTTTATTATGGCAGACACCAATGTTATGTAACGTAGTAGCCAGTTTTGGATCATTTTCATTGTCTCCCTTCTCACGAATGGACAGTGCTCTCTTATAGTATACTTTAGCCTTTTCGTATTCTTTTAGTTCGTTATGGCAAATACCAAGGTGTTCTGGCGTACTAGCCAGTTGTGAATTATTTTCATGGTCTCCTTTCTCACGAATGGACAGTGCTCTCTCATAGTACGCTTTAGCCTTGTCGTATTCTTTGAGTTTAATATGGCAGCAACCAATTTTTTCTAGCGTGCAAACCATTTGTGGAACATTTTCATTGTCTCCTTTCTCACTTATGGACAGCGCTCTTTCGAAATAATTTACGGCCTTGTCGTATTCATTTAGTTGATAATGGCAAAAACCAAGCTTATTTAGCGTAGTAGCCAGTTTATTTTGATCGTCTCCTTTCTCAAGAATGGACAATGCTCTCTCCAGGTATGCTTTGGCCTTGTCGTATTCTTTTAATCCGATGAAAAACAAACCTAGATTATTCAGTATCAAATGTGTTCTATTTTGATCATTTGCCGTTTCAGAAATCGTTAGTACTTTTTCAAAGTACCTTTTTGCTCTTTCTTCTCTTCTTAACTTAGATAACGAAAATCCAATGTTTAGTAGTGTAATGGCCTTGTATGGATGACTTTCATGATATAAACCTTCCATTATTTTAAGCGATTTTTCATATAAAGTTGTTGCTTTTGTTTCATCTTTAAAGTTTGATAAACAAACCCCGAGGTCATTAATAGTGTCACCTAGCCGTGGATGTTCATTGTCACGGAGTTTTTGCTCAATCTCAAGTGCTCTTTCACAATACGTCTTGGCTTTTTCAAATTCACCATGACTTTGAAGAGACCTAACCAGGTTTATTAATATATCAGCCAAGAGGGTGTCGTTTTCACCCTGACGTTTTTCTTGCATCGCCAAAGCTCTCTGTAAATATGCTTCTGCCTTTTCGTGTTGCCCAAGATGCATGAGGCAGTGACCCAGGTTCTTTAACGTAATAGCCAGTTCCGGATGATCTCCTTTGTGCAACCTTTCTTCGATTACCAGTGCTTCCTCCAGACGCATTAGCGCTTTTTTGTAATTCCTTAAATCAATATATAAGTCACTCAGACGTTTTAATGTAGTGGCCAAGGCAACGCTTAAATCGCCACTACTCATTTCCTCCTCAAAATGGCTTTGCTTATCTTTGTGCGATTTACTCATTACTGCGATATTTGAGTTGAAGTTTTGGTCTTGAGCAATTTCTGGACTACTATGGTATGCACGTTTTTGTATTGACAGACATGTTTCTAGGAATATCTCAGAGGCCTCGTAACTTCCCTGCACAAGACAGATACTTCCTGCTTTGAATAAACAGTCAGCGGCATTGAGAGATTTTGCTGGTAAGGTGGAATGATCCAATAGACGCAGGTTACGTTTACTTGATATAATCACAAAATGTGGCGTAAACGATCGTGTGGCGATGATTTCTGCCTTGGTTACATCGTAAAGGTTTTTAAAAGAAACGAGATCTGAAAACACTGACATCAGTTTTAAAATATCCGTTTCATCATCGTCCAACAATTGCTGCAGGCCATGGTAAACCACTTGATGTACACGAATTACTTTTGAAATTACTACATCTTCAGATAAAATGACCAGCGAACTCAAACTAATATGAGCAGCTACAACGTCATGGTCTTCATCAGGCATGCAGTTTATTACATATTGCACAACATATTTCAATAGTATTGGTTCATTAGCTATGACTGACAGGAAATGAAAAGCATGCATCATAATCTTGTCTTCACTTACTACCCTCTCAAGAGCAAGTCTGACAGCAGCTGTCATTGCTGTTTGATACGTCAAAGTGGTCCTTTTGTAAACCTCTTCGGTTGCCTCACGCTTTCCTTCTTGTAGTTTGAGCAAATACTTCTCCCATTTGGTTTTACATTGGTCAGTAGAGTTGAATATTCGCTGCACGTAAATTGCTGCACAAGCCAAGGCAAGCGGTTGGAAATCAAGAGCACTGGCAATGTTAAGTAAAGTGTCTCGATCACCAGTAGTACCAGAGATTTGGGAAAGTAATGCGATGGCATCTTCTTTTTGCATCCCTACCTTAAGAGATGAATAATGATATGTATAGGGGTCAAGTGGAATGGATTGACTGTCTTGAGTGGTGACGAGGATTTGACCATCACCACTTGTCTTTTCTCCCGCTTGAGGCAAGTACTTTGAAACTGATTTCAAATCATTTACGTTGTCCACAATAATCAACCACGATGAATAAATCTGCACTTTTGGGTTGATAACACTTTTAATATTTTCGATTTTCTCTTCTGGACTGAGGTCTTTTGATGTCGCAATTCTTGTAGCAGAGTCTTCGTCACAGTTGAGTCTGGCAGCAAAATCCACGTACGATTCGAGAAGCGTGTCAATGTTGGATGCGTTGAAGGTGAATACAAACTTAAGATGAGTTGTATCTTCAGGGATTTCGTTAAAGTAGCTATTTCCAATCTGCCTGGCAATCTCACTCTTTCCACATCCGGGGTTACCAGACAAGTAGATCACCGTCGTCTCACTTTTCTTTGTGCTTCTCAACTTTTCCATCTCGTGGTTTATTGTCGTGACTTCATCTGCGCGATCAGTGGTATGATGGGAAGGTTTGGGTGGTAAGACACAGAAGGAATGAAATTTGACATAAAGTTTTCTCTCATTATTTAGCTGTTGTTGAATACTACTTAGTTCCTCTGTCGGAAAACCTTTCTGGGTTTTCACTTCATTCACCTTCGTCGTATCCAGCCCCAACGCCTTAAAGGCAGCCAAGACTTTCCGCATGGCGTCTTCAAAATCCACGTCTGTAAGACTTCCATCAGCAGTGTGGGCAAAAGCTTCATTGCGGATTTCTCTCAGTTCGTTAACGTTTGTCTGTACAGTGGTATTTAGATATGGCCCGAGGCAATCTGAGAAAAGAAGAGCATAAAAGAGACAAGTGCAGTCCCATTCTTTAGTGTTACCGTTTGCCATAATAGTGAGAAGCCTTGCATTACGTCTCTGATTTCTAGGTGATTCCATGTTGCAGAAATCGGTTGCATTTTTGGGTACATCAAGCCATTCGCCGTACGTAGGCTTGTAACGCGCGTTCCATTGTTGCTTGAAAACTGTTCGCATTCCCTCGGGTACATTATGAGTAAAGACGTAACATAGACGGAAGTAGTTGAGCTCCTCATCTGTATATTCCGTGGTCGCCATCTGAAATGTACAAAGATTTCAAATATCAATAGCAAGTTTATTTATTTTGCTCACAATTTTGTAGTTACAAGTTAGCATTATGAAGTTTGCTTTTTTCGTTACCAAGGAAGCAATTACAAAAGCACAAGCTGGATCCAAGTATCCGTGTATCATCTAGTTAAGCATGTGTGTCTTTTAAGGTGACTGTTACCCTACTAGCAGAGATCCCTGGATAATATCCCTAGCCTATCATCTAGTTAAGCATGTGTATCTTTTAAGGTGACTGCTACCTTACTAGCAGAGATCCCTGGATAATATCCCTAGCCTATCATCTAGTTAAGCATGTGTGTCTTCTAAGGTGACTGCTACCCTACTAGCAGAGATCCCTGGATAATATCCCTAGCCTATCATCTAGTTAAGCATGTGTGTCTTTTAAGGCGACTGCTACCTTACTAGCAAAGAACCCTTTTCGTATTTCTATTTTTGTTGTTGAATCTTTTCACATTACTGGCTTTTGTCGTTCTTAGCGATCGTTAAGAAAGGAAGCTTTTCCCGGACTCGGCACTTTTTTGTTTGAGCATGCGTCGAGTTCAAAAACCTGGTTGATAAGGCGTACGCAGCAAACTAAAATGTTATCCGGAAAAAATTCTGCATGCAATATGAATTGATATGACTTAAAACTGGTCACAAATAAGCATACTTTTGTGGCAGTACCTGCAAATTAGCAAAATATCCTATATATTGAGCTAAGTGTATTTTTGACCACGTTAAATAAAGTTATTGTATTGTATGGTATTGCATACTCCCTTACTTGCCCGTCATTTGGTCACCAGTGCTCCTGATGACGACACTCGGCGCATACTCAAACGAAATAGTGCCCTGAAACCAGGCAGAGGTTCCTTACGTAACGATCAAGAACTAAAAATAAAGTAAAACATATAACAAAATCAAAATCACCTTTTGTAAACCCAAGGTCGTTTTCAAGGTATGGCTTATCAACGTTTCTTGAAGTATACTAGAATGAGCAAAAACCAACATACGAAAAAATTCATAACTCATAAATAAATTAAATTATAGACGTTTAATGTACAGGAATGAGCCGTTTTCACGAAGAAAACTTTTTCCTGTTAGAAGGGATACCCTCTTCCCCGAGCTACCCTGGGCGAACTTACTTTTCCCTATTTTCTTTGTGATTTCAAGCCATTTTAGTGATTTTTTAAAAATATTCGTTTCCTTGTCTTCTTCTTTACAGGGCAAACGAAGATTTTTAAACCATCGCTAAAATGGCTCGAAATCACTACTAAAGAGCAAGGACGACGTAAACAACACTTCATGTGAGTAAATATTAGCTTTTATTATATTTTCGTTAAATTACACCTTTTGCCGTTCATTAACAGAAAATGTACATTCATTTGTGCCAATAGTTGTATCAATAACGTGTAATGTACTTTCATCAACA